TACTAGAGATAACCCTCTGTAACTACCAGTATAGCTTAACATATATACTCAAAAGGGATTCATTTACAATTTCCTTAAAAAAATGGTTCAGCCTCTGTGGAACTAGTCTCCTTGCTATTTCCATAGACTTTCTGAATCTGCTGCATGATCGCTGTACTCTACTTCTCCTATTGTATTCTTCTTCTGTTATACTATTGTCAAGAGGAGCAAATTGGACTGCTTCTTTGTGTAAATAGTTATTGTTCAATGAAATAATGGCTTCTTTTTTAAAAAAATCCCTTTCCCCACAGATACTGAGTGAAGATAGCACTAAGGATAGAGAGAGCTAGCTGAGAGCAAGGCATTTCCCAGAGCCCGTTTGCTGCACAGCAGCCAACAAAGACTGTAAGATGGGGCTGGTAAGGTTTCCCTTGAGATGGTCTCTGATCCCAGGGTTACCATATCTGGGTTGCAAAACTCCAGGAGGCAAAAGATACAGAAAACCCTTTGTTGCCAGCTAGTGTTTGCCCACAATTTTGTAGCCCAGATATGGTAGCTCTAGCTCATCTAACAAACCATTTGTTTCCAGTCCTCTAAATTTTACTGAAATGATGCTTGGTATTTCACAGGTCATTAAGCGTTCCCTTGAAGTTTGGGGTAGTGAGGAAGCCTTAGAAGAAGCAAAAGAAAACCGCCAAGACAACAGAGAGAAGATGAAACAGAAAAAGTTTGATAAAAAAGTTAAAGGTAAATCTAAACCTCCCTGCCCCTCTCTACTTTTAAGGCTGCAGGACAATGTACCAGTCTCCACAATTATCTTTATTTCAAAGAATGCCCTTGGATTCCACTGAGACCCAATATATTTCAAAAAGTAAAAATGGTGGGTTGCTATAGCTGTTTATTTATAGTAGTGCTTTTTTTGGTGCCTTCAAGTCAGTGTTGACTCCTGGCGACTGCCTGGACAAGTCTAAGCAATTTTCTTGGCAAGATTTCAGAAGTGGTTTGCCCTTGCTTCCTTCCTAGGGCTGAGAGAGAGGGACTGGCCCAAGGTCACCCAGCTA